AGTCATTTAATATATGTTCAAGATATCCAATACTTTATCTCCTTCTTTACCCAGGTATGAGATTCCAATCAAACTTAGAGGGTATTCAGGTCTAGTTTGTATTCTTATTGACGTTTATTAAATAAATTTAACTCATACTAACAGATGGGTCAAAAGGACGGCTACCCAACCAACTTCATCAAAATATATCAGCCAAATATCTCATCAGAAACAAAATCAAGTACAGAAACCAATAAATGGATCATTCTACCATATATAAAAGGCATATCAAGAGCTACAACGAGATTGTTGAAGAATAGGTGTAACACACCAACCAACAAAAACCACTGCAACCAATCATATGCAAACCAAGGGATAAAATGACAAAAGAAGGAAAACCAAACATAATCTACAAAATAAATTGTTCCAACTGCGTTAAACACTTCATCGGACAAAGTAGACGCCCTCTTCATCTTCTCCTACATGAACATCAACTGGTGATCAAACGCTATGACATATGCTCACTTACATCAATGAATGTGAACAACTGTGGACACACATTCGACTGGAAAATTGATGAGATCTTGAATAGAGGCAATTCTAAAAACACCAGAGAGCTTTTAGAAGCTTGGAACTCAGGTCAATCAGCAATAAACAAACACATTGAAATTGATCCAATTTATCAACCAATCAGAAAAATTATGGACAAATATAAGACCAAGAATCAAATCAATGGGAGATACAACCAAAATAAAGAGGTAAACAATGACAGGTTTAAGGTCAACAAGAACCAATCCAGATCGAAATCTACACGACAAGCTGTGAGCCATATTTGATGAAATTGGAACATTTCACTTCTACCTGAAGGTTCTGCTGATGATGTTGTTAAGAAAGACAATGAAAGCCACATGAGCAAAGCATCCAGCTCAGAGAATAAAACCCCCATCTCAAAAGATTACGAAACATTAAAATTAGTTTTTCAACAATTAAGGACATAGTAACTAACATTTCTTTTTAGAAATAAAAAGAGTTAAGTAATTTACAATATTGTAATTCAAGTCATTGAAAAACTTTAGGCTGACAAAACAGAAATGGTTATGTTATGGCTAAAGGTATGACAGGTTTATTATTTTTATTTTTATTAATAGTTATTAGAAATCGATAATTAATTTTCCAATATATAATGAAGTTATTTCAATGGTTGAGAACATCAGTCAATTGAAGCTAGATAAACATAGAAAACTTGGAAGCACTGAATGTGAACGCGTACTACTGAGGAGTCCCACAAAATAGAACGAAATGGCTATCTAGTATTTTCTTGTTTTTCATGGTGGTCTAGCTTCAATTGACCCATAATCTCAGCCATTGAAATAATGAAATGACCAGTAAGTTTCATGTAATTGTAAAATAAAATGTTTCAGTTTACTACTTTAGCATTAGATTGTATTGATCTTTCTCAGCATTTATTATTAATCATGTAGTGAGATATGTATAAGTAGTATGTATCTTGAATAAATAGTGAAATACCTGACGGCAGAAATTTAAGAAGATCGAACGGAAGTGTTATGATCTCATTCTTACTGTTATGACCCAGCTATTCCTATTGCTTAGTATTCTTGGACACCAAATCACTCGACAAGTCCCCAAATCAGAACACGGTTGAACAGGAAAGAGTTTATATTCCAAATAACTAGGTTAGATGGTAATGAGAAGGAAGGAAGTAGTGCAATAGGGAAAACGCTAGTATATTTATAGTTTTTACATGAGAAGATTCTAGAATGTTCCCTAAGTACTGACTAACACTGATTGGATAAGAATTACCCAGTCGGCGTGCACCGAAGCGATCGTGCATTAGGCATGCTTTAATCCAGTCTCTGTCTCGCTAACAGGAAGAGAAAAAGAACAAAAAATGTTTGATATGGAAATGAAGGAATAATGAAGTCTAAGACGATTGATTGATATTTTGCAAATGAAGTATTTACTGTTTGGTTCTCAGATTTTATTAAAGTACTCTGTAATTATGTATTTGAGTGCTTTCGACTGTTCTCGCTTGTGTTATTATTTATTCATTGAAGAAGTGGCATACACTTAGTGACGAAAGTTTAGAAAACTTAAAAAAGCGGTTTTCCACTTATTGACAAATATAGGACCAAGAATCAAACCTATAACTCATGATCTCAACCATTAAAATTACTATAATATCCATAATACCCCTTCTAATAATGGTCAACATATGCTCACTAGTGACTGACTTCGAGAGGTATTTAATGGAGTTCTAGTAAGAATCAGTGACCAGTGGAGTTCAACCAGGTCTGTTGTGAGGCAGTAACTCAATGAAGACAATGGTGGATGTGTCACTCAATTTTGTTGATTAGTTGAATTTAGACATTAACAGTGTTGGATGCCAGCCAGTTCAGTGGTCTAGAGGTTAAGCGTTCACGAACGAGATCGATGTATCCTATGTTTGAATCTGGCGAGGCGGGATCGTGGATGTGCACAGCTGAGGAGTTCTACAATTTGTACAACTCTAGTTTTTTATCCTTATTAGTACATATTTGGTATCCGTTTGATGTTCATTTGTGATCTCGATCCAAAGATATGACTGATAATGTTTATATGTTCCCTGATTAGTATCAACTTGTTATGATTTCTTACTAAATATTATGAATATATATATACTTCAGGCTACTGTTCATGTGCTTGACTACTCACTGTTGACTGATACCTTTTCATTAAAATAAATCCACAAACAAACGTTAATATGGAGTAATGTAATGAAATCATCAAAAACTGAATGAAATAGCACTTTGGTTTGTTCAAGTTTGTTATTCTTTAATAGCATATATTACCAACCCTAAGCACTGAAATTAATCGGGATTATTCAAGTCTCACTGTAAACCCCCTTACATGAAACACATTTCCAACTTCAGATATCATGCAAAATTATATTGGTATCGGCATTTCTCACTTATCCTACATAGTTAACTAATCACCCACAAGCTGTTTCACTTGAACATTGTGAATTCTTCTACAAATCAATTTCTAGAGTACAACTCTATATTATTTGGATGAGCAGTTTGTAGAACTAATCCATTCTATGGTAATGCTTAACATCAAGAACTAACTTCATCTAGACGGTTATAAGAAATCAGAAAGAATTAAGAAAATCTCTTGCTATCCAAGCATGGTACCTTATGATATTACTTAACAGCGACTCTAGACAATCATATGGTCAGTCATTAGATGAATCATTTAGATCTACAATTCAGTTGCAATATATTGCCCAGTTCAACGTTATGCAGATTATTTTATGAAAATTTATTTAACATCATATTCCCTTTTCAATATGGTTGTGTAGTTCTAGAAGGTTCCATATTAGGAAGAAAATGCTATCCAGTCCTTTTTGTTTTCACTGATACACCAATGGATCTCCATTTGTGATGAATATCACACACGAATATTAAGCACGTGAAATATGCTGTTTATAATTATTTAAGTTTGTCATATGAAATAACTCAATTCATTGATTAGTTCCACTACCCTTTCACTTTGAGTTTCTCCATAGTAGTTTTGATTTGCTTATGGAATTGAGCGGGTTTATTATCAAAAAAATAATCCTATAAAATTGTTAGTTATGAATCCAGTGCAGCAGCAGCCTCAGTAGCATTAGGTCACAACATACACAAAGAAGAATGTAGGATTCTCTGATACAGCTCAGCATGCACCAATCGAAGGAGAGAATCGGAGAAGCAAGAGCAGCATATTAACAACTGAAGAACATCTGGAACTCAAAACAACTGTCCTCAAGTCAGCACCAAAATCAAAATTTTCAATAGAAATGTCAAAACAGTTTTACTGTATAAGACGGAAACTTGGAGAACTACGAAAGCGATCATCCAGAACATACAAGTGTTCGTTAACAGTTGTCTAAACAAAACACTTCGGATCCGTTGGCCAGACACCATCAGTAACAATCTATTGTGGGGGAGAAAAAACCAGATTCCAACGGAGGAATACTGAGGAAGAAGTACTGTAAGTGGATAGGACACAAATTGAGGAAAGTGTCCAACTGCATCACAAAGGAAATTGTCACTTGCAAGCGTCAATGCCAAATAAAGGAGAAGAGGAAGAACAAAGAATAACACATCACTCCGAGGAACGAAGACAGACACGAGAAGAACGAACAAGAATTGGATATAACTATAAAGGAAGGCGAAGGACAAAGTTTGTTGGAGAATGGTAGTTGATGGCCTATGTTCCATTAAGGGTAACATGAGTAAGTTATGAATCCAATTAAACAAATGACTAGTCTTATTATGTTTGAATAGCGACCATATTTTATCCCTGACATACAAACAAAAATCATGTACGATCGTACTAAAATCAAATGAGAATAACAGAGTTTTGAAGAACGTTCACAGTGATGGAAATAGAAATAGCATAAATGAACTGTTTCATTTCTAACGTATTTTTGAAGCTAGTGTTATGTGAGCTACTTATATTCATATAAGTAGTTTGTAACGATAGTCAGCAACAGAATTCATTTCAATAGACCGTGAACGCGAGAATGGGAACAGAAAGCAATTGGTATGAAAATACAGGAACAATGAAATCCGAGACGTTGAACTAATATTTGCAAAAGGAACAGTCATATTTCAGACGATTGATTGATATTTTGCAAATTAACTACTTATTGTATGGTTCTCAGATGTTCTGTAATTTCGTGTTCACAGACATAACACTGCCCACACTCATGTTCTTGTTCACTACACTAGTACTATTGATTTGTTGTTTAACTTCGTCCTCAATGAGATAATCATCACCGTTGGGATCAACTGATTCTTCAGCTATTCCATGAAACGACTAAAGTTGTAATGTAAACTAATTTCATTGTATGGAAGTTACATGTTAACGGAGTTCGTAACGAAAATTATCTCTTTGTTTTAATAATATATGACAATGACTATCCCGATTTTAGTTAAAACTATGTGTTGTTCGCATCTTTTTTTTTTCATACCTAGTACTTACAGATTTATACTGTCGTATAGATTCAGATTGTTCTTATATTCATGGCAGTATATGTCATCCAGGAGTTGGTGCATGTGTTTGTCCTAGTGGTTATGAATTTGTATTTCAACATTTTTCTTGTTGTAAGTTTTGATTATGAATTTGATATAAAAAAAGAATGATTTTGACGAATTGATAATCCATTTATTTAAACACATAAACATTGGTACAAGGAGGCACCAAATAGATATGCGTCACATAAATCATTCGACTTGTTTGAGGGCTGAGATACTGACCGGGTGCCCAAACTGAATCAAGTGGTTTTCTTAGAGGGTCACACCGGTAGCCCATGACCTAAAGGTCTAATCCACAAAGCAGTGGAGCAACATTAGGAGATGCAGTTCCATGGTAGCCGATGACCAACGATTGATTCATACGCCATTTGTTCCCTCAGGATCCTAGCGACCATGTACGCCATTGGTTTGGGATGAGGGTTTTCCAACTCCCCTAGGTTGACCCTTTATATCCACCTACCGGCTGGAAGCGCCAGATATTCACTTTTTGTCTCTCAATCTCGTAAACAACACCGAGAAGGTAGTGATTAGGACTTCCCTGGTGGTGGCTGTATGCACGGGGCCATGTGAAAGTATTTCGAGAGGGAGGGCTGACTTCTCCCACTCTCGGCCGTACCAGGGCATTTAAGGGCGAGTTAACCCAAATTTAGTAGTAAATGATTGGTATGTTGTTTTATTGGATCAGATTGTTATCGAATTATTGATCTTTACTGTGATTAATAATGTATGAATAAACGTATATTAATAAAATTATGTACAGTAATAATCTGAGCTAATTTCAATCTTATTCGGTAATGTCTGTCATTTATATCAATATTCATAATTATCCGGTTGAACAAATGAAATGTTGTTTCTATTTGAGAACTTAAACAGTCATATCATTATCAGCTTAGTAAGGTCTCAACTTCTAATTCCATAAGTTTTCCCTTCCTTTTTTGGAGTCAGATTTGGAGCTCTGTATATGTATACATGTATGTGGCAGGTAAATAACGATAGAAAAATCTTTAATATAAATTCACTTGTTATTGTTTGTTTGAACCTTCCCATAGATGTTTAAGGACTACAATTGATCAGTCTCTTATTAGCATATATACACAGTGTGCGTAATGCCTCGATATAGCCTTAATTCACAAGCATTATATCCAAATACAGCAATGAGTAGATTCAAGTAAACAATTGCAAGTAAATTTAAACTTCACCCCATTGCACAAGCAAGTGACTATGAGGACTCAATAGCTAAGTGGATAACATGATGGCGTTTGGAGCGAATGGTACTGAGTTTGAGTCCCATAGTAAACATCAACTCTGAGATGCAGGTACATCCAACTGACGAGTCACAAATAGGATGAAACGCGCGTCCTGAATTCAAAATACAAAATTACCTTTTATTTATTGTGACTTTCGATTGCTTAGAAATGTATATGGTGATATAAACCAAGCATTGCTCTCTAGTTTTCCACTGGTTAATGAGATATTAAATTCTAAGGGTAACAATCATATGTTATATTGAGTGTGCAAACGGCGAGACTATAATTTATGGACGAACCAATCATGTATAAGATAACAGGTCTCGGATTTTGGCACGAAATTCATCCATAAAGTTTTAACATGATAGTTTATGTCAGTTCGTGATGAAAACCCAAAATCGAATTAAAAACTTTAATCATCGACTGTAAATCATAATTGTAATTCCTCATACTGGTTTATAACCCTCATTTGATCCTGGTTATTAAGTGAAAAACCCCAGATCACTTTGGCGTTGATCAAAGGTCATCCATAAATTATAGTCTCACCGTGCAATCCCATTACAATTATCATAGTAAATTAGTGCGGCTATATCGGAGGAAGAATAATTCTTCCGGCACAAACTTATTATAAGATATTCATCTATGTTACATTTTTTTATTCATAAAGTACCCACTTTTATTTAGAAGGAATATTGAACTCATTTTCTCTATTCCAATGCTTAAGATCATGATTTAGTCAAAACTAGACCACCATGGAAAACCTGAAAACACTGGACGACCGTTCTGTCCTATTATGGAACTCTTCAGTAGTGCACATCCCCGATCCCGCCTCGCTAGATTCGAACTCAGAACTTATCAGTCTCGTGTGCGAGCGTTCAACCTGTAGACCACTGAGCCGGTTTGCACACAACGGTGTTAATGTCTAACTTCATTTTCTCTATTCATTTGATTATATTCTGTAAATTAGTTAGATAAACTGATTTACTCTTAACTCCTGGGGTTCATCTATTCACATATAGTTCATCTCCTGTTCATACGCATGTTTGAAATATTCGATAATGAGACACTTTAATATTTGACTTTTATTTGCCACTGCTATTATCGATATCAGTTCTTTCATCAATGATCCTTATTAACGAAGACAATTTAGTGGCCAAAGAACTGCTGAAAACCAGAACGTATAGAACAGTTTCTTACTTTGGGATAGAGCACAATCTTTTATATTTTTAGCTTCAATCAATTCATAATATTGAGCAACTATTTTTCATTACCATTCATGAGAAGATGAATGAGCATTCTCTAAAATCAATTGACTTTAGACATGGTTTTCAATGGTTACCTAACTAAAGTGAATTCCTTATGTAAATTATGTCATTCTAATGATCTTGTATGAATAATGTATTATTATTCATATTTCTCCAGTACCTCGTGTAAATGACAGTTCGAATCCGTTTTGCACAGCTTGTCAAAGAATTGATGGAGTATGTGTGCTAAATAATAGAAAAAATGGTTTATTATTGGATAAATATCACCAAAAGTAAGTCATTTTTTTAAATATTCACTTCAATATAATGAATATCAGAAGAGGTTTTTGTGGATATTATAGTAATTTTAATAATTAAGATCATGAGTCAATTGAAGGTAAACCACCATAGAAAACATGGAAGTACTGGACGGCCGTTTCGTCCTACTGTAGGACTCCTCAGCAGTGCTCATCCGCGATCCCACCTCGCGAGATTCGAAAACAGGACCTATCAGTCTCGCACGCGAGCCCTTAACCATTAGTCCACTAAGATGGTATCTCGCGTGGTGAGATCATGGATGCACACTGCTGAGGAGTAGGACGAAACAGCCTTCCACTGCTTCCAGGTTTTCCATGGTGGTCTAGATTCAAATCACTCATGATTTCAACTATTAAAATCAATATAATTAGTCCCGAAATAGTTATACATGCAGTTGAATAATACTAGTGAATTATAATCAAGTGTATACTATTTAATGAGGAAAAGCCTTTATACACGTTGATAAATATTTAAATAGAGCAAGAACAAAAATTGGTGCAGAACAATCAATGGATTCATTTTATTTCATTAGGTTCTCATCAACTGCTTAAAACCTAAATTATTTGAAATTCAAATTATTACAGATATTGACATTTGTTATACATAAGAGTGTTGTGATTAAGGATGAATACATGTGTATCATGATGTAGCGAAGATTCAGATAGAGTTAATGAGCTCATAAAAATGTTTGATTCGAATAAATAAATAAAACTAGAGAGAGGGAAAGTTCTGGAACATTGAAATAGTGATTAGAACTCATGAAAATAGATTAATGATAATAAAAAAAATATGAATTGAAATCAATCATTTATGAATGATGTAATTTAAACTTCAGAAAGAGTTGGAATAGTGAATGACGTAATAAATAAATAAATAGGAGCAAATGAATAGAAAGGGTGGGGGTTATTGTTACCAGGGTAAAGAAAGATTTATTACTGTCACTTTTTGTATACATAGATCTGGTTTTAAACGTTTGATTGCTATCGCTTCAGCGAATTTCAAAAGGTTAGAGTTTGATTGTTTGTTGATCACCTTGAAGGACTTCAGTATATCAACTTCATGTCCTGTATCAAGGAGATGTCTTGCGATAGCACTGCTGAATGCGTTTAATCCATTTAACCGTAAACTTTTCGGAATATGTTCTTTGAATCGGACGTAGGCTCTCCTTTCTGTTCTATCAATGTAACTGCTTTGGCAGGTACATGTAAATTTGTATACACAATTGATGGTAACATGAAAGGGATACCTGTCGACCTTTATTCGAATCAAACATTTTATGATCTCATTAACTCTATCTGAATCTTCGCTACATCATGATACACATGTATTGATCCTTAATCACATTCTTATGTATAACAAATGTCAATATCTGTAATAATGTTGAATTTCAAATAATTTAAGTTGTAAGCAGCTGATGAGAACCTAACGGAATAAAATGAATCCATTGATTGTTCTGTACCAATTTTTGTTCTTGCTCTATTTAAGATAATCAAGGGAACTATGTGTATGATAAATATTTAGTGTAATTATAATTATGTAAGGTAACCATTTAACTCAGGATAGATATAAAATTATACTGCTAACTTAAAAGTTACCATTCCCAAACGTAGTGGTTCAAAAATTATTCAAGAAACATCATATGGTTTAAGAATACAGACAACTCTTACAATTATGTGTCAACAATTCCATCATAACCCCAGGTTAAATGGACATTCCCTATTAATCATCTTAAACAAAGTGCACGGCAACTAATACTTCCTTACTTACTTACGCCTGTTACTCCTCATGGAGGAGCATAGATCACCCAGCAGCACTTAATCTGTTTGGCGTTTTTTTAGCAAGATATTTTTCTACGGGATGAGGTTGCCGACCCCATGGGACCGGCAGTAACTCTTGAAGAGCTACAGACGGAGTTATGGCAACTAATAGACACACTGCAATTTGATGACTTTGATCAGCACGAAACATTAGATGATATAAATTGTATTCATTTTTGTTTTTCATTCGGTGCAGCTATTTCAGTGCTATTATGTGCTCATTAACAGCTTAAATAGCTAAGTCATAATGTATCTGACAATTAAAATCAGTGATAATGATCAAATCCCATTGGAAAAAAATATATCTTTTCCTCTCATAAGTGCATATATGGGGTTCTTATGTATGAAATTTAACATTGAACCGAGATCAAGCAATTGATTACGGCATTAATCCATTATAAACATTTAGAATGAAACCTTAGATACTGACATCCTAGTTACGTTCTAATCTCCATAGGCCTCAAACTATTGAATCCAGAATGGAAAATAATGAGCAGAAAATTTGGAAGAAGCATTATTTTACAGTTTGAGGATCGTAAAGCCCAAGAAGATATAACTTTGCTATACTTTCTAAAGATATAACTATATTTAATTATAGGAAGTATCTAACATTTATAAATTCGAAACTTTTTGGTAACACGTTACATAACACTTGGTGTTGTTTACTTGTATCTTCCCATTGTTATTTTGGATTGCAATTGATCAGTTTCTTATTGGCATATGTGCATCGTGTGAGGACTACCTCGATATTGCCTTAATCCACAAGCATTCTAAGCAAAGATGGATGGTGGCTAGTATTGGAATGGAGGATGCAAGTTTCTCCCTATCTGGAACTCGTCAGCTAGAAATACCTGCATCTCACAGTTGATGATTACTCTGAGCCTCAAACCCGGCTGAATCCAGCTGACAATTCCCAAACAGGACTAAACGCGCATCCTAGATTCTACTACTAGCCACTATCCATGTTACATAACCTTGTAAAAGTCTAAAATATTCTGCTATGACTACTATGACTTCAATGGTAACTGTCATAGATATTGATACTTTATAAATAAGAAACTGTTCTGTTGCTACAATGAAAACCTAATCAGTGATGTCATTGTTCAAGATTTGGAACAATTGCAGGTTTAACTACTACCAAATGGACAAACCGTCTCAACTTTCCATCTTACTATTAAGGTTGTTAAGTAAGATGGTTAGACTTACGATTCCTTGATAAACTTTTTTAGATCTTTTAGTGATATTGAAGGTTATAATTCCTTGTTGTTGATAATCAGGATTAAGCTTATTGTATTTTAAGTGAATATCATTTCTTTACTTATTTTATTCGTTAATGGTTAGTAGTAAGTTTACAAGAAGAAATAAACTTCTAATACTTATATCAGTCTGATACTAACAAGGATCCTAGTTTACTAATTGATTTACATCTGCATTATCTAATCATATAAATAATTAGTCGATTTGAAGGTTTTAATGATCGTAAGAACATATCGGTTAAAGTAGCTTTGATTGTGAGACTTTCATTCTCTTCCTCAATAACATTACCAACCTAATTACTTACGTCTGCTACTTCAAATGGAGCATAGGCTGCCGACCAGCATTATTCAACAAACTGTCCTCCAACTTCCTTTCTAGTTCTATTCAATTGTCGTTCATTCTTCTCATGTCTGTCTCCATTTCTCGAAGTTATGTGTTATACTTCAGTCTTCCTCTTCTCCTTTATTTGACATTGAGAATTCCAAGTGATTAGGGCTTGCCTTGTGGTGCGGTTGGGTGCTTTCCTCAGTTTGTATCCTATCCACTTACAGCACTTCGTCCTCATTTCTCCCACCGCTGGAATCTGGTTTGTTCTCTCCCACAATAGATTGTTACTGATAGTGTCTGGCCAACGAATTCGAAATATTTCGTCTAGACAGCTGTTGATAAACACTAACACCTAAGAGTTAATAGATTTTACTAGTAAATGTTTAAATGTTTCTAATGTAAGTTAACTTTAGATTTAATTTATTAACTTTACAAAACTTATTAAGTACTTGACTTTAACCCGTTTTGTTTGAATAACATTCATTGGAACTATTGACTTATTCAAAACTATAGTGTAGACGTTTAATGGAAACTTGTGTTTTATTGAATAAGATTCAATTACTTTAGTTTCTCACTGTCTATTTCACTTCATATTAAAGTATCTATATGATCGATTATTTATAATCAATAATTATCCTTAAAAATGATCATATTGTTCTTTCATATTAGTGATCTTCAATGTGCATGTCCTAGAAAACCAAACATTTCTGTGATAAAGAAATACTCATTTCTTGATATATGCAATCCAATTCCTGGTAAGTGTAATACAGCACAAATTACATTCATGTTATAAATAATTGGGTAATATATTACCAAATTGATTTACCCCCCTCATCCCTAGATCATAGTTTACCAACAAGACATCAGCAAATAGAATAAATGGATGGTCTAACTTGAACTTTTGTCAAGTCGTCAGTAAATATTGACGTGAACTTATCTCTAGTATATTTACTCATTCCTGAAACACCACAATAGTATAAGTATATGAGACAGACAAGGTAATCTCAAGTATTGAGCCTAAAACTATCAAGCATCTTGATGAATATTCCAACCCCAGTTCAATTCACGATAGTTGATCACTGATATCCAACGGTCAGCGCTTAAATTTAAACTTATGATCGGTAAAATAGAATATGTCAGAAGTAAAAAAGATTATACTCTATAGTTATAATAAAAGATGGATATTGGCTAGCAGTGTAATCCAACATGAGACTGATCAATTACAGTTCTAAATAACAATGGGAAGATACAAGTAAACAATATCAAGTGGACTCTATAGTTATAATTGTAAAATATTCTAATTTGGTTAAAGTTTTAAACTTGAATTACTGGTGCCCAATTCAATGATCTGATAGTATAGTATTCATCATGATACTTGAAAAATTCGTTATTACGTAACCAATAAATTCAGTAAAGATGGATATTGGCTAGCAGTGGAATCCAGGACGTGCGTTTCGTCCTATGTTGGTCTCCTCAGCGGCGTGCATCCGTGCTCCCGCCTTGCCAGATCCGAACCCGGGACCTATAACTCTCACATGCGAGCGCTTAACCTTGAGAGCATTGAGCTGGCCGGCATCCAACAGTGTTAATGTCTAACTTCAACTAATCCACCAACTGAAAATCATAACCCTAATTATTTGTGTTTCGTCACTACGATCAAGTAAGGTGGTCTCCTGAAACTGTTTCGTTTCTCATCGCTACATTAAAAGTACAATTTCTTCAAAATTTGAAAGTAATTAGAACAATATGAAGTAACCTAGAAACCACATTTTGAAGCCTGATCAACTCATCTTTATATTTAGTCTTATCCTATTAGTCAGCAACCAAGTAAATTAGTGTACTCATGACCTAAACGTTTTACATATGATCTAATTTAACCTTATAAATCGTGTAACCAAATTACCACTTTACATTCATTCAGATAAATTTGAAGTCAACAGAAGAGATTGTCAATATAGGGTTGTGAAAGTTATTAAGTTTTTCATTGAGATCATGAACCGATTAGTGTTAGAGAATCATTGAAAACCTGGAAGCATTGAACGGCCTTTTCGTCCTATTGTGGGTCTCGTCAACAGTGCGCATCCACGATCCCGCTCACAGGGTTTTAACTCAGGACCTTCAATCTTGCGTGCGAACGCCTAACCTTTAGACCACTGAGCCGGTATTCAACGGTATTAATGTTTAATCTTAACCAATGCACGAAATCGCGCGACCATCTTTGATTGTGCTGAGGTATATACCTATCTCTACCCGAAACGGATTAGCTCCACTGGTCATATCATATCATTATATGTATTAAATGAAACGGATAAAAGATTGAAAACTGATCCAACTATATTTTTTTGGTTGTAGTTGATATTGGAGAAGAATGTAATCATATTAATAAAGTATGCCTTAGTCAAAAAGCAATTTGTCTTGATAGTTCAATCAACATACGTCAAACACAATCGACAACAAATCGTAATGTAAATATTTGTGTTTGTCATGAAGGTATGATTCCAGTATATCAGAAGAATTTAGACTATTTTGAATGTTGTAAGTTATTTATTCTATAAATTGAATTAAACTTCTTTTGTTTTCAACTGAGATTTATAAACTTCTCAGTGGATATTTTGTGATCTTATATCTGACTCCAATTAGATCGTATGATATTGTCGACGGCTTCGGCAGTTTGGGTGGGACCTTTCATTCTGATGTCATTTAGATCGGACGATGTTAATGATAGGTTCACCAATTTTTTGTGCCCTGAAATCTGACTCCAATTGGATCGTATGAATGTTTGTTATCAAACTATACATACATCCTGGCTATCCTCGTATATTATTATCGACCTAACTTGCGTTGGTGAATAACGGAATTAAAATAAGTCAAATACAAGAATGGAGGTTTTTGTACACATTGATCTGGACAGACGATCAAAGGGACGAAGAGAAAAGAGCGAAGCGAAATGACGCCCAATGGAGAAGGTGTGTGAACTGGCTTCATTTAATCAAGCATTAACCATTATTTATAACCAGATAAAAATAAGTTACAGACAGATGATGAATAGGATAAGAAGTGTACATACATAAGGTTACATAAAACAGTCAAGGTTGATAAATGAATAATTAACAAGGTCAAAACGTGACTCAACAAGAATGGATAAATTAGCCTATCCAGAAGCTAAAATAAGTTATGTGGGTTTAACATAGTAACTGATACACTTCAAAGTAATCTGCAATAATAAACAACTTTCGAACCATTTGTGTATTAAAGATGAACGGTTCTTATATAACGACTGGTTTGTAACGCGGTTTTGCATTACACGCTAACAACTTTTATAACCTAGAGAGTACTGTACTATTGATATGAAAATCATAGAAGTTTGTGAAGAGTTCACATAGCTAATTGATTTCAGTTAGACAACGACTGAAAACCAAAAATGACTTGGATGGATGTTTCGTTCTATTATGGGATGATTTAGTAGTGCGAATCCAAGTATCCACAAGTGATCAGACACAGAACTTACAACTCCCATAGAGAGCTGCCAACCTTCAAACCTTTAAGTGGGAATGTAGAGATTCACGTTTCTAACATCGATCCATTCACAATACTCCACGACCACCATCCTCTAAAGATATTTTTGAAGTTCGTTGGTTGTGGATTCTAACATCAGTTCCTGGAATTACCTTTCGTAGTTAGCTACGAATGAGCGCACAATTATTGTTACTACAGGAATTTTTGAAGATTTAGGAAGTTCATGGTTCGTTTCATGGATTGATTTTAATTAGACAACGGGTAGTCAAAATATCGAACAATCACCGTGTGATCTGAAAGACTTGGGTTCTATAGTTGATGGGATCATGGATTCTTACTATTGAGAATTCTCATACTGGGAGGAAACATTAGTCCGGCATTCATTGATTTTTAATGGCTTTTAACCAAGATTAGTAATTAATGAAAAGTAGGCAATAATTTCATCCCAGAGACTCGAATGATAATTACTAGATATTATAAATTAACTCACCTCATAAATAGCTTGACTGCTGACGATTTAACACTGCTTTATTGAACTACTTACTTAGTAAATGCAATTTAGCCGGTCATTATGACAACCATTATATGTAACGGATTTATGTTTTGGTTGATTTGCTTCGTCAAACGATCACCTTAGTAACCTCGACGGTGTTTGAAATGAGAAGACAAAGAGAAGCGGCAACTACAGTTTACTAGGGGATAGCGCAAATCACAAAGTTATAAGCACATAGAGCGAATTTGAAGCGGAGTTGGCTCACATGCCTTCTCCACTGTACTTTATTTCTCTTCGTTTCGGCCCTCTGATTGTCTGCCCAGATCAATGTATACTACGGGTCATTTAAATGTAAGCTGACTAACCAAATGTTACTTGTAAACTATTAGCTAGTGGTTAAACGCTCGCTCATGAGACTGATATATTTTGTGTTCGAATCTGGCGACGCGGGATCATGGATGAGCATTGCTGAAGAGTTCCACAATAGGACGAAACGGCCATTTAGTGCTTCAAGGTTTTCCATGTTGATCTGACTTCCATTGACTCATGATCTCAACCATTGAAACTATTAACCACTTCACGAACATGGAACAATTCATTCCGATTAATTTATAATTTCATATTTTAGCTCTTAATGTTGACAATCATATACACCTAGTTGGTGTTAAATAATCCAACAGTATGCTCATCTATAATAAACTTTCGAACTTTCTTCACTTGTTAATAGAATTTAGAATCTATAGAAATTGTTAATACAGAAGAACTTTCAATGGTTACCATTTAGAAACCTTATAGTTGAGGTTAACATTTTTCAATCCATTTCAAATGTCATTGTGAAGGTAATAGAAACAACTAATGACCGTGTTAATGTCTAACTTTAATAAAACAACCGCATTGCACCATCGTCCACCATTTTCTTCAATCAGTAACTGTCTCACAACAGACACGGTTCAACTCCATTAGTCATGGCTTCTCACAACAACTTCATCAAACCCATTTTCAACCTGGTCACTAGTGAGTACATCATAGCTATCAGTATACCATTGTGCAGATTGTTGATTTTACATTAATATCATGAATGGTGGATGAGTGTTAGGCGACAATTGAAAAGTTGGAATTAGTGGATAACCGTTTCATCCTAGTATGGGACTGGTGAGTTGTGAGCATCTACGATCCCTCACGCGGGACCCGGACCCACGACATTGAGTCTCATGTGAGAACGCTTAACCTATACACCACTCAGTCCACATCCAACCGTGTTAATGTATAACTTTAATCAATCAACCATATTGCTACACCGTCCACTATTGTCTTCAGTCATCAACTGTCTCACAACTGACACGCTTCAACTCCACTAATCACAGCTTCTCATTAGAACTCCAGGAAATATCAGTCACTAGTGAGCACATTATTGTTATTATCATCAGAAAGGGTTATTTTGTGGAGATCGTAGTAGTTCAACTGTTGATTTCATGTGTCGATTAAAACTGGACCACCATGGATAACTCAGAAGCATTAAAGGTTAAGCGTTCTCTCACGAGACCGTAGGTGCTGAGTTCGAATCTAGTCAGTGGTATCGTGGATACACACTTTTGAAGAGTTCCATACTACAACGAAACGACCATCCATTGATTTTAGATTTTCCATAGTAGTCTCGCTTATGAATTCAAATCTTAAAATCACTACATTCTCCACAAAACATCCCCAACCCCCTCTTTTCTAATAAAAAAGTGATCTATCTGAAATCCAATTCTATTCATTGTACAATAATTAACTAACATCTTAGTTTCTTTTTTTAAATTTAAATTTAAATGATTCTTTCCTACCTCTTTATATTAATTAAATGATTATCCCTTAGTTATTGTTATTTATTATAAACAATCCATATAAACTGATATGTTATTACTTAATTATTATTACTATTATTACTATCCAAGTTTTGCTTCATTTAGACAGTTGCTATGCTACATAATAATAATAATAATAATAGTACTAATAATAGTAATAGTATTAATAATAATAATAATAATAATAATAATAGTAATAATAATACTAATAGTGGTAATAATAATAATAATAGTAATAATAATAATAATATGAAACCAGTTTGAAATTAATCAGTTTAATTTAACAAAATAGATTGAATCTATAGGTTACTAAGTGGAATCATCAACTTCACATAGAGATAGATAGATATACGAGGGGGAGGGGGGAAGCATGAAAAAATAACTGTTTATAAATCGATAAATTAAGTTTCTTAGCCATCTATAATTTTGTTGTTGTTGTTGTCAATTTGATGAATTGATTTAATATTGTACAAATTCTGTACTCATAGAATAAAAGCATCGTCGATATGATTCAGTTTGAAGTGAATTTGAAATGATATAAGACTATACATGTTATCACGTATGCCCTGTGTCCTATTAATCTAGAATGTGAATGATACAACCAATTAAAGAACAGTGATGAATTGACCAAACCAATAAAGCATAAAACCTGTACGAACAGTCTAGAGTTCTTATCGGTCCTGCTTCCTGCCTAGCCCTGCCATTTAAGTCCAGAACACCAATCTCAGCCTCTGAGATATGAATCATTTATTTCAAACATACTATGTTTATACATTTGTACAAGATCTAGCAGAAATTGGCTGTGAATGTAGGAGATAGTAATTGATAGACTGGGCATAACTTAAGAACGGTAAATCGCTTAATACTAGTCTATGCGTCAAAATAAAGCTTATAATAAGAGGAACATGAATATGAATAGTTTAGTTACTTAACAATTATACGATAAAAATCTACGTAGAGTCCATAAATAGATTTCAATAGGTACCATTCATTATTCTCATCGGGATACAACAAAACTACAACTAGAACTATTACTGTGTTTATCTTCTCAACTTTCTATCTCTAGACATTCTACTTTCTAATGGTGGTACATACTACTTATATCTGCCAGCATCAGTAGCACACACCACACTACTACTACTACTACTGTGGTGTGAGCTACTTATATCTACATAAGTAATATATAACGATAGTCAGGAATAGAATGTATTTCAGTAGAAGATCGAGAAAAAAAGAAAGAAAGAATGGGAACAGAAAGTAAATGGTATGAAAATACAGGAAAAATGAAATTTGAGACGATGGACTGTCATAATAAAGCTCATAACGAGTGGAACACGAATATGAATAGTTTAGTTACTTAACAATTATGCAATAAAAGTATACCTATAGCAATGGTCCATAAATAGATCCCAACAGTCATCATTCGTTATTCTCATCGGGACATAACAGTACATCACTATGGAATTTCACAACATGATTATTATCTGACTCATATATGAGTTAAATCTTATATAGGTCATTAATTGTAAATTACCAGGAGATAAGTACTATTAAACTATGAAAATCCAATTTCTCAGTTTGTTCATTAAATTAACCTGAATGCTATAAAGTAAAATCATTGTCATGTCATTGATGTACACTGTTGAATATTTGCAAATCAAGATAAATAAAACACCGTTGGATGCCGGCCGACTTAGTGCTCTACAGGTAAAATGTTCTCGCACCAGACTGATAGTTTCTGGGTTGGAATCCTGCGAAGAGGTATCGTTGACGATCACTGCTAAGGAGTCCCGTACCAGATTGAAACGGCCATATACTGCCTCCAGCTTTTCCATGGTTGTCTAGCTTCAATTGACTTATGAATTCAACTATATAATTACTAAAATCCGTACAAAATCATTTCTGATAAAAATACTTCATTTGCAAAATGTCAATCAATCGTCTCAGACTTCATCATTCTATCGTTTCCACACCAACCATTCTTTGTTCTTATTCTCTGTTCTTTGATCTTTATAACCTTCTGTCGCCAGGTATTTCACTTTCAATTGCTGATACATACTACTTTCACCTGTCAACATCAGTAGCACATACCACACAAGTAATTATATTTTCCAGCATAACTGATGATTATCAAAAAAATAAATTAATTTTTTAACACATTATATGATAATTGCTAAATAAGCTATATTGCTATGTAGAGCTGAAGGTCTCATATGAGACTAGAGTTTCATCATTGATATTGTGAATGGTTCAGCATTACTTTGACAAGTTTTGTTCAATGTTCATGAACAAAATAGGTTTGCTAGTTAACAGATTTCATTCATACAGCTGATTGCTTTGCAGCCTTCTCAAGGGCCATTATCATTGAGACATTGTAAGGAATGTCGCCATTGCAAACATTAATGAGCTTGACTGTCGTTTAAACAGAATAAGTCAACATTGGCCTGTTCGTGATGTGCATAATTGATTCACGCCATCATTGATCGGAATATTTATACATATAATGTATAGGTGTATATAAATGGAACGAATAGTTCACCAGGGTACTGTGTACCTGTGTGATTGCACCACAGGATTGATCTGTACTATTCAGATTGTAGCGTTAAAGCCTATGTGATATCTGATTCTCCTTTGAAGCGTAATTGAGTTGTACAGTTCAGGTCATAAAGTTTAAGCTGGGTCGATGTCTGGATTGAGATGTCTTATTTAAGTTGTCACATGAAAGTCTAGATGGTATCCATTTCTCTTAATACAATCTCCACATGAACCCCTCTTTGATTATAATTTGTTATCTATACTCTTTTCTTTTCTTTTTATAAAAAAAAACAAACAAACAAAATAGTTATCGAAGAAACTGATCCAACTATTATTGATTGTCAACATTGTTATCAATCAAATGGCAAATGTTATCGATTTAATATTGGATCAATAAATCGAAGACAATATCAATATAGTTGTTCATGTTCATTATTTAAACAAAATGATCAATCACTTAGTGATTATTATTATTATCCATATTATTTAGATATAAATTCGGATAAAACAAAAATCAATATTGAATCTGATCAATATAAACAACGAGAACAGTTATCAGAATTTCATATAAAGAGAAAAGATTGTATAGAATATTTATGTAAGTTTTTATGGTTTGAAAGTTAATTAGTGTTGTTTTCCTTGAATCAGTCAGTACTATACGGATTGCCTTGATATTGCCTTAATCTATAAGCAGTCTAAGCAAAGATGGATAGCGGCTAGTAGTGGAATGTAGAACGTGTGTTTCGTCCTATTTAAGACTCGCCAGTTGGGTGTACTTACATCTCATAGTTGATATTCACTCCAGCAATCAAACACAATATTGTTCGCTTCAAACGCTATCTCGTTATCCACTAAACTACTGAATCCTCATAGCCACTGGCTTGTATAATGTGGTCAAGTTTAAATACATTTTGTATTGTTTACTTGAATGTTCCGATTGATTTGTTAAGACTTCATTTGATCAACCTCATATTGGCATATGTGTAGCATGATGTATAGATTGCCTCGATACTGTATTATTTCACAAGCATTCTAAGCACATCCCATTGCACAAGCAAGTGACTATCAGGATTCAGTAGCTGAGCGGATAATGCGATGGTATTTTGAAGCGAACGATATTGGGTTTGAGTCGCAGAGTGAACATCAACTTTGAGATGCACGTATATCCGGCTGACGCGTCCCAAATGGGACGAAACATGCATCGTGGATTCCATTACTAGCCACTATCCATCTTTGCTTATAATGTTGAATATTTTATTGAATATTGCGCACTGTTGAGGAGTTCTATGATAGGACGAAACGACCTTCCAGTGCTTCCGGGTTTTCCATGGTGGTCTAGCTTCGATTGACTCATGATCTCAACCATTGAACTTACTATAATATCCGCAAAAATCCTTCTGATATGAATAATCAAAATCTCAAGCTTATAGTTAGTAAAGTCTCGTAGTTTTATCAGTAAGTATAACATTAAGTCAAGAAAATTAATGTCTGTATAACTGTATATATTTTTAAAGACTTTGTCAAATACTCATATGATGTAAATGGTTTCTAGTTGTAAGTGATTGATTCTAATTGGTAGAAAATTTCGTGCCCAAATATTTTATTAACTGTCAATTGTCAACAAGGTGTATATTCAATAATAATAGAATGGATGTTACCTGTGGAATTGGAACCAACGTCACCTTGTGTCCCAATCACTTATGTAATTACTTACTGGGAATATAGTGCCATCTATGACCAGTTTATTGAAGGCACATAGGTTAGAAAATCTCCTATCATTTTCGTTTCTTTCTCCTAGTCCATGTCGTCCCACGATGTCTTCATATCCGGTGTTGGCCGTTTCAACCTTGGCATTTAGGTCTCCCATCAGAATGGTCGAGTCCTTTGTTGGGTATTTCTCGACAGTTGACTGCAGCCTATTGTAGAATTGGTCTTTAACGTCTTCATTGTAGTCATTGGTAGGTGAATTGCACTGGATGATGTTCATTGAAATGCCCTCTTTCTTTGTTTTAAAGGAGGCTTTGATGATCCTTGGTCCACTAGATTACCATCCTATAAGTGCATTTTTTACTTGTTTGGATAGCATCAATGCAATTTTTTGTGTATGTGGAGCATTTTCTTCTTCATTGCCGGAGTATAACAGAAGCTCTCCTGAAGCTAGTCTTTGTTGTTCAACCTGCGTCCAATGTGCTTCACTGATTTCAAATATCTCCACGTCTCGTCTCTACATTTTTGTAGGAATTTGGAAGGCTCTGCCAGTCTCTTACATTGTATGAACAATCACTGTACCTAAACTAATGGTTGCTTTAGTTGTCAGAATGGGGGCATCAGACTCGTGACATTCAAAGGAGCTCGGTTTCCACCATGAGGTGTCATAACTATTATAACTGAAGACCCTCTGATTGCCAGGGCAGAGTTTAATTGGTTTGAATAATTTTTTTCTGGTTAGCATTTTTCTATTGAGTTAGTCTTCTACGAGATGGGGTCGCTAACCCCATGCCCAACCCTCCTCCTTTATCAGAGCTTTGGATCAGCAGTAGCCCCAGAGGGGCTCCAGACGGAGTTTTGTCCTAATCACAGATATGATTTTATTCAAGTTATCACAGAGTTATTATTAGAACTGATACTTTTGATTGACTGTTTACAAACTATTACAAAAGAACGTTAAAGAGGAGGAATATATTTGTGAAAAAAGAACTTTGGTCATCATGATTTATTAACTGAGAATATTCGGTTTAAAAGAAATTAGAACAGTCAACTATTCTTCATTTCAAGTAATTGGACCAGAGTTGAGTTGAAACTAAATCTCATAATTTTCATATTTCTGAATATTAAGTAAGCAAATAGAGAGAGAGGAAATATTAGTTTGAAAACAGACCAATAGTGTTGTTGTTACGCATGTTATCCTTCATAGAGGAGCATAAACCGACCACCAGCATTCTCCATCCAACACTCTCCTGAGCACTCCATTTCTTTTCAGTTGTTATTCATCCTTTTTATTTTTGCTTCCAATTCTCTACTCAGTGTGTTCTTTGGCCTTCCTTTCTTTCGTTTCCCTTCACGATTCCAAGTTAGCGTTTGTCTCATGATGCAGTTTGATGATTTTCTATTCACTTCGAACATCTTATTCTAATTTCCTCTTCAACTGGAAGCTGGTTTGTTCTCACCCACAGTAGGTTGTTGCTGATGGTATCCTGTCAACAGACATTCAGTATGTTACGTAGGCAGTAGTTTATAAATACTTGTACATTTTTGATGATGACTGTTGTAGTTCTCAAAGTTTCAGCTCCATACAGTAGAACTGTTTTAATGTTCGTATTGAAGATTGTGACTATGATATTGATTGACAGTTGCTTTGAGTTCCATATGTTCTTCAATTGTAGGAATGCTGTCTTTAATTTTACCAATCCTTACCTTTACGTTCACATTAGGTCCTCTTTGTTCATTTTTCATTTTCCTTTCTTCTTTTTATTAGTACAGATTACATGTAATCAAGAAAGTATTCATATCTGTTTTAAAAATCCATATCAAACATCAATGATAAGAACCAATCATAGATCAAGAAATATTCAAGTCTACTTGGATGCATCAAGAATCTATCCAGAATTCATTCAACATGAATTCAACTATTCTATAGATAATCAAAAATGTTATTTAATCAAACAGAATAATCATAATCATAATGAATATTGTTTATTAATTAATTTTAATCAATTCAATGAATTGAGACAATGTGGAATTTATGAAATAAGTTATAAGGTAAGAAAGATTTGTTTAGTTGTATTGAAAGTGTTTAATTGATTAAATTCTCAATAGTTAAGAGGGTAAGACGTTCGAACACGAGACTGAAGGTTTTATGTTCGAATCCTACTGGCTAGGTGGGAACGTAGATGCGTATTGTTGAGGAGTCCTATAATGGGATGAAACGCGCATTGTTCATTCCATTCTTAGCCACTGTTACCATCCTTGATTTGTCTATCCACTTTTAGTGCTGAGGACAACTTGTCTAATCTAGATTAAGACCTTGACGTGATAGGTTGACTGGCTTAACTTAGAGGCTAGTACGCGTGAGTTCGAAGTGAAGTAGAGAGAAGAAAACTATTCTATCACATGATTGGCTGACAATCACGCGAGTAAGAGAAGACAAGTCAACTAGAACACTACTTGATTTATTCTCGACTCCGATCTGGTTCCCGATTTCAGATCAGAGTAAAAAGATACATTAATAAATAGATGACTAACCCAACCACAACGTACAATAATTAGGAAAATGCAATGATGTCCAAAATCGGAGATGAGCGTAGAAAATAGAGTACAAAATAATACGTTTAAACTACAATAGCTTTGGAACAAAACGTGCTACACCAATGAATCAAACATCAAACGAAAGCTTATAATCTGTAGAATAGACTAGGAACAAAAATAAATGTTACTGTTCTACAAGCTTTGAGTTAAATGAAATAACGTCCACAAAAAATAGCTTCCGTAGTTTGTTAGAACTTCTTGTTTCTCTGTTCACATCACCACTATCCATCTTTGCTTATGATGCTTGTGAATTAAGGCAATATCGAGGCAATGCATACATCATGCTACACATATGTCATTAAGAGACTGACCAATTGCAGTTTTAACAAATCAATCGGAACATTGAAGTAAACATTACAAAATGAATTTAAACTTGACCACATTGTACAAGCTAGTGGCTATGAGGACTCAGTAGTTCAGTGGATAACACGATGGCATTTTGAAGCGAACGATGTTGTTTTCGAGTACTGGAGTGAATATCAACTGTGAGATGCAGATATATCCAACTGACGAGTCACAAATGGGGCAAAACGCGCATAGTTGATTCCACTACTCATGTTAAATATTTTTAATCGAATTTGTCTATCCTTTTGGAAATTTCGTGTTTATATTATCAGTCAGTAGGATATTTGATAAGACTCCACGTTATGTAATCATTCATTTTACATGATTTAGTACCGTTGAATAGTGTCAAGTCTTTTGAGTAAAATCATTTATCTTTTCAAATGAAATCAGTAGTCAGTTGATATAGTGGTCAACATGAGATCGAAATCTCATGCTCAAGCCACGTATTGTTAGTTATATAGTTATATAATATACCCTTGTAGTCCAGGGTAATTTTACATTGGTTTTCAGGAGAACCAGACACCATCCAGACTTTCACGTGATAACCCAAACAGTATAGCTCAATCCTGTTTAACAGGAGAGCCAGACACCGCCCAGGCTTAAGTTTTATAATTCGATCAGTACAGTTCAATCCCGCTTCACTGGAGAACCAGACATCGTATAGGCTTTAATGCTACAATCGGAATCGCACAGTTCAATCCTGCGGCACAACCACACAGGTACCAAGCACTTTGGTAGACCACGTATTATATTTAGAGCAAACTAACCAACATACATCTTATTTAAGTTAAAATACACAGCGCTATTATTACGTAAATGGGTTCTGCATATCAAACTGGATCATGGTTTACTAAAGGTTTGGATAAGTTTCTTTTGCATGCATAGTTCCAGTTTTTTTCAGATACAATGGCAAATGAAAGTTGTTCCTGTCGATTGTTCCTAAAAATTGATCGACTAGAGATTGATAAACGCAATGATGCTGAGAGAAATGCTATTTTAAGAGATTCAGAGATTTTTCCCTCTAGGTTGTCAATAGTTTCGTTAACCTCTGAAATCCATGTTTACCAAAATTATTGTCGTTTATACGGAGGTTGTTGGTAATTATGATGGTCTGTATTTAATATTCTTGTTATTAATTCTCGACTAGATACCAATTTTCAACAAGTATTCTTCTTAGGAGATTGTATCAATTCTGCAAAAATCTGGGAGACTCTCCCGGTCTCCCTTGTTGTACGAGCATTCCATGTACCTAAATGGTTGCTTTGGTTGTCAGAAGAAAGGTTCAGCCTCGTGACTTTCGAAGGAACTCGGCTTTCACCATAAGGTGTCATAACTATCCTAAACGAAGACCCTATGATTCCCAGAGTAGAGTTTTATTGGTTTGAATGATTTTTTCTGGTTAGCGTTTTTCTAGTGAGTGAGTTTTCTACGGGATGGGGTCTCTAACCTCATGCTCAACCCTCTTCCTTTATCCGAACTTGGGACCGGTAGTAGCCCCATAAAGGCCCCAAACGGAGTTTCCTTAGGAAATAAAATCCATAATATGCGAGTTTGGAAGTGAAAATTATTCGTCCTGTAGAGATATGAGTAAATTTCCCCTTTTTACCAACAAGAAACACCTGTGGAAGTTTGATGGCCGGTTGTTTCATGATAGTATTCTATGAATCTCCTGACAGTCTTATCGGATATACTTTGTCTGTTTTTAGGTTCAATTATGGATTTTAATGACAGATAACAGGTTTCAATAGTCATAAAGGATAAACGTATCACTGAAAATGAACGAATATTCTATTAAGCAGTTATTATACTGGATTAAAATTCACTTTTTATATTTCATCCTAATAATCTTAACCTTCTTTTTATATTTTTTATAGTATGGATCTGTATTTTATGGCACATTACATGCTGAAATTACAAAGAATGAGGTTTCATTATTGAGAAACGTTCATATTGACTTTGTTTGTCATATCAATGTTTCTTATTTGAATGGATCAAATCTATCTACTTCATACTTCTATGATAGGTAAACTACTTATGCGCATATATATATATATATATATATATATATATATATATATGCTGCCAAGATTTAATAAGATATAATGTCCGTGTTTGTTGGATGATTTGACTTTTGATTTCTATATGCAGTACACCGTTTCCGATGGACCCTTTAAAACTTGACTCCACTTTTATTTCAATCATTTGTGCTACTTAATAATAATAAAGTAGTTCAAACTATAATGAAAATGTTTTCAGCTCACTTATTGAAAGTAGTTAAATTCTTTTAATTAAAACGAACTGCTTACATTCAAACCTCAATGTTACGCTTCATTTTTTTAAATTTGAAACGGCATTTCTGAATGTTTCGCTTACTTATTTTGCGTGTGCGATGTACTCCTCGAAAGATTATCTTCAAAGGTAATGCATATAATAGAAAGGCTGTTTTATTTACTTTCTTTATGCAACTGTGAATCGGAATGCGCTTCATCGACACACATTAATTTAAACTTTACTGTTGTTGTTGTAAATGAAACCAATATAAATAGACTGATCTCGTCTTTTGCATAAGGGACTTCTGTGTAGTAATTTGGTCATTCGATTGGAAATTATGTTTACTTACTTACTCTTGTTACTTCCAATAGAGCATAGGCCGACCACCAAAATTCTCCAACACACTCTCTCATCCACCTTCCTTTATAGTTCTATCCAATTATTGTTTATTCTTGTCATGTCTGTCTCTACTCCTCGGCTTTATGTGTTCTTTGATCTTTCTCTTCTCCTTTATTTGGCAATAAGGATTCCAATTGATGGTTTGCCTTGTGACTCAGTTGGGTGCTTTCCCCAATGTGTGTCCTGTCCACTTCCAGCACTTCTTCCTCCATTGAAATCCGGTTTATCCTCCCCCATAGTAGGTTGCTGGAAGCCATGCAGCACTCGACAATGTGTACGAAACAGAGGTTGTTGACAAAGATCATCTCGGACAATCTAATTTTCAAATAACCAACTGTCATTTAATTTTCTGCATGTAGATTTTATGTGATTGACAATTTCATCTCACTAATGAGTTAGTTCCTCTATACGTCAATACAGGAATGTCAAAAATAGTTCAGATATTACAAATCTTTCTTCTGACAAATTTTAAAATATTAATAATCCTCTAATTCTCTTTTGTTCTTAAAGATCGATCATCTTTAAAAAAAGAACTGGTCAGCTTGCTTTATCTCAAAAATCCCCGGGAATCAACAACTTTCTCCCAACGAAACACATCGAAAAAGACACTTTGCAAGATGAAAAAACACGAAATACCAATTCCAGTTCAATATCTTTGTCTATAATTAACTTAACCAAAAATATTTCTCAAAATCAAGAAATGACATTAAAAATCTCTTCAACATTATCTGGTAAGAAATTGAAATTCAGATGTTTTGGACAGTTATTTGCAACTATTCACTTAATAGTTGAGTTCATGAGTCATTTAAAGCTAAACAACCATGGAAAACCTGGAAGCACTGGATGTCTGTTTTGTCCCATTTTGGGACTCCTCAGCAATGCGCATTCATGATCTCGCCCCGAGAGATTTGAACCCAGGACTGTCGGTTCACAGAAACCCTTTCTAATAATGTTTATCATATGCTCTCTGGTGACTAGCTTCAAGAGGTATTTATTGGAGTTCTAGAGAGATGTAGTGACCAGTGGAGCTCAACCAGGTCTGTTGTGAAACAGTAATCCATTGAAGACAATGGTGGACGGTGGCTCAATTCCGTGGATTGGTTGAAGTTACACAATAACACCGTTGCATGTCGGCCGGCTTGGTGGTCTACAGTTTAAGCGTTTGCGCGCAAGACTGATAGGTTCTGGGTTGGAATTCCGCGAGGCAGGATCGTGAATGTGCACTGAATAGGAGTCCCACAATAAGACGAAACGTCCATCCAGTACTCCCAGGTTTTCCATGATTGTCATTTAATATTCTGCATATATATTTTACCCGACTGACAATTTCATCTCAATAATGAGTCAGTTCCTTTGTACGTCAATACAGGGATAATTCATGAACTCAACTATTAAATTACTATGATATTCACAAAATCTCTCTCTGATCATAATACCCAATTTGTTAATTTTTTTTTCATTTATCTAGAATTCATATTAATAGAATATTGTTTGGTCAAAGGTCAATCGATTCCTTCCAAAGTACTGCCAACATATGAACATGAAAAACTCTTAGATTTAAAGTAAGTACGTACGTACGAAGCAGACAGCAAGTTTAAACAAATACTCTTGTGATATATGATTTGAAATTTTAACACTATTAACACGTTTTCATGCCTGTCTACTTATCTGAACATCGTGGTATTGAAGAGAATGAAATACTTGCTTGACTTTTGCCGACTTACGTCACCTATGGCGAAGGCGAGATAGACAACAATGTTACTAAACGTATGATAATCCAGAAATTACTATTTTTAATCAAAGTTTATCATTCTTTGAGAAAGTCGTCGAAGATTAGAAAACTATCAGAAACAATTTGATTATTAATATCTCTGCAGAAAGTTCTAGAGGTTTAAATACAGACTGATTATCTTTTAATTATACTTATTAGACAATAAGTCTATTTGTTATTATATACCTTTTTTCCCAGAAACTTCTTACAAATCCATTTGATTTCTACATATTCACTAACTTTAAATTTCTTGTAGACGTTTGTGACATCTGAAGGTTAACAATCGGTTACAGAGTCATTATGTAAGCATTCAAGTACAAGACATATCGAAACACGATCACGGTAGAGGAACTCATCCATATTGCTCCATAATAGTCGGTTTCTGGAGCCATGATAAGATCGGAAAAAGATGCACATCACTAAGTCTGTGTAGGCATTTGTACGCTCTCTAATGCTCCGTATATATTGTAGTACCTGGATTCAGTCAGTGTTACTGGTGCTTTTATTATCCAGTTCGCAAACATGATCATTAATTGCTTTAATCTCATTGTGGATCGAACGAAAAAATCCCACACTAGCAGAATTCTTCCTCCAACATATATTACATCGAAAGACAATATCATCACGGTAGTTTACACAAGGTACTACAAACCATTTGATTACAACAATCACAAATAAAGGAGCTTCTTAGTAGTCCCATCTTTTTTAGCCACTCAATTACCACGTTTTCTCTGAAATCCGCTCTGAACCGATTGTACTTTAGAATCAGTCACTGAAATTGGTGCCATGACCTTGAACTCCCTCAAACGCTTCTGATTGGTTCGTCCATAAATTGTAGACTTGTCGAATTACTAGTAATCAGTACATGTCATAGAGTGAACTATCACCCAAACCCTAAGTGATCAAACACCAATCTAAAATTCACAATTTTGATACACTTTGGCAGCGCATTTTTTGTGATTCAATTAATTATAGTTGGAGGTGTTCCAGAAATATCCCTCGTCAAAGTCTGTAGGCTCTCAGAAATGCCAAAAACATGTTTGGTCCGATCAATGTAGAATGGAATCTCCTAAGGAACATCTGGGAAATGCGGAATTACATGTCATGGTTTTAGTTGGATAGTTACCTATGATATTCCTATATATAGTGTGGATCCAGAAATTTCCGGAGGACGGAAGTTGTTTTTGATGGAGTTTATTTCTCTGAGTTGGATGCTTTACTCATGTAGCATTCATCGTCTTTCTTAACAACATAATCAGCAGAACCTTCAGGTAGAAGTGAAATGTTCCAATTTCATCACAAATTGCTCACAGCTTGTTCTGTAGACCTCGATGTTGATTGGTTATTGTAGACCTTAAACCTGTCATTGTTTACTTCTTTATTTTGGGTGTATCTCCCATTGGTTTGATTCTTGGTCTTATATTTGTCCATAATTTTTCTGATTGGTTGATAAATTGGATCGATTTCAATGTGTTTGTTGATTGCTGATTGACGTAAGTGCCAAGCTTCTAAAAGCTCTTTGGTGTTTTTAGAATTGCGTCTATTCAAGATCTCATCAATTTTCTAGTCGAATGTGTGTCCACAGTTGTTCACATTCATTGATGTAAGTGAGCATATGTCATAGCGTTTGATCACCAGTTGATGTTCATGTAGGCGAAGATGAAGAGGGCGTCTACTTTGTCCGATGAAGTGTTTAACGCAGTTGGAATAATTTATTTTGTAGATTATGTTTGGTTTTCCTTCTTTTGTCATTTTATCTTTTGGTTTGCATATGATTGGTTGCAGTGGTTTTTGTTGGTTGGTGTGTGTTACACCTATTCTTCAACAATCTCGTTGTAGCTCCTGATATGCCTTTTATATATGGTAGAATGATCCATTTATTGGTTTCTGTACTTGATTTTGTTTCTGATGAGACATTTGGCTGATATATTTTAAGGAAGTTGATTAAGTAACCGTTCTTTTGAAAGATGATCTTCAAGTATTTTACCACGCTGCAAGTGTATTACATTGTGTCCTCTGCCTCTTGAAAAGAGATTGTACGCAGTTGATTTCGTGAGCTCTTGGGTTATTACTACACTAATTGAAAACGTGGTCTGTGTAGGTTGGTTTCCGATGTATTGGAGTCTTGAGTTTGCCTGTGTCAGTTCTGATGATTAATACATCTAAGAATGGCAATTTATTGTTTGATTATTGTTCCATTGTGAAGTTGTTGTCATCGAAGACGTTGTTGATCAGATTGTTGGTGTTTCCAGCTCATCCTTTTTGACGATGACAAATGTGTCGTCCACATAACGAACCCAAATGTGTTTTTTTAAGTGAACTAATTAATAACACTACTCAACTTAAAAAAAGTTGACAACGTTGATGATCTTAATCTACACAATAACAATTACCATTCCTATAGCCTTTCTAAAACTGTTTCTGTTATTTTCCCAAAAATAATATTGTTATAACTTGTGGGTTTGTGACCCTATCAATATATAACTTAATGATACCACAAAGTAGAGAACCGTGAATTATCCACCGGACCAATGACGCATAAAACTTGTACGAGCAGTCTAGAATCCTTAGCGATCCTGCTTCCCCGCCTAGCCCTGCCTGTTAAGTCCAGAACACCAATCTCCGCCTCTAGGATATCAATCATTTATTTCAAACATACTGGGTTTATATACAAACCAGACAGGCCACATCGTACCATAAAATAGGAAACAACATTTGTACAAGATCACAACCAAATATGACTGTGAATAAGGGAGATAGTAATTGATAGACAGAGCATAACTCAAGAGTGGTAAATCGTATAATAATAGTTCATAGGTAGAAAGTTACAGAACGACGTTCTCACACCAATCACTCTCTGTTGTCATTCTCATCTCTTTGATCTTTTTAACTTCCTGTTGCCAAGTATTTTACTTTCGATTAATGATACATACTACTTATACCTGTCAATATCAGTAGTACATACAACTTTAATAAATATTAACTTGTTACTTCTTATTTCTTTTTCTTTTAATTTTCATTAGATGTTTCAATACAAACATTCATAGAATTAAACAAATCATTGATATCTATAATAATAATCTAATAGAATATCAATGTATTTTATTCAAACGAATCATTCATCATCGAACATCTAATAACAATCATTCAATTTGGATTAGTCAATCATTTCATTTAAACAATATCTCATTGTATAATACTGTTTATTCTACTTGTCTTATACGTGTTTGTCAAATAGAACAACTTTGTACATATGTAAGTAGTTAAAGAAAGGAAAAAAAAGAGCGTAAAATTACATTGTTGGAAAGGATATTTTTTTACAGAAACGGGGTGATTTGTGGAGAATGTAGTGATTTTAAAAGTTGAATTCATAAGTCGATATAAGCGAGATAACTATGGAAAATCTAAAATCAATGGATGGTCGTTTCGTTGTAGTATGGAACTCTTCAAAAGTGTGTATCCACGACACCACTGAATAGATTCAAACTCATCACCTACGGTCTCGCGAGCGAACGCTTAAACTTCAGTGCTTCTGAATTTTCCATAGTGGTCTAGCTTGAATCGATACATGAATTCAACTGTTGAACTAATACGATCTCCACAAAATAACCCTTTCTGATAATAATAATAATAATAATAATAATAATAATAATAATAATAATAATAATAATAATAATAATAATAATAGTAATAATCACCTGCTCACTAGTGACTGATATTTCCTGGAGTTCTAATGAGAAGCTGTGACTAGTGGAGTTGAACCGTGTCTGTTGTGAGACAGTTAATGACTGAAGACAATAGTGGACGGTGTAGAAATATGGTTGATTGCCTGAAGTCAGACACTTACACGGTTGGATGTGGACTGAGTGGTGTATAGGATAAGCGTTCTCACGTGAGACTCAATGTCATGGGTCTAGGTCCCAAATTATTATTAACATAACAACAAAAAATCATTTATTTCAGTAACGATTATCGATCATCTAGATAATCAACCATTTGTAAAATTTTTAATAATCGAGATCATGAGTCAATTGAAGTCAGACCACCAAAGAAAACCCGGAAGCACTAGACGGTCACTTTATCCTATGACCCCACCTCCCGAGATTCGGACGCAGGACATATCAGTCTCACGCGCATGAGCACTTAACCACTAGACTGGTATTCAACGGTGTTATCCACAAAAATAGAACCCCTTCTGATATTATTTTGTCAGCTTTTAATTATTCTGAACAAATATGATACATCAATTTCTTCTTTTTTTCTCTTTTTTGGTTACAGGCTGAATTTTATTCATTGAATAGAACAAATAAACAATATAATGATCCATATGTACAGTCTAAAGTGTATATACCATTGATAATGTTGAATAATAATAATAACTATAGAAACAAATCGAAATTATCCCATTTATTCCCGCCAATAAATTTTAATAATTTAATACAATTTTACTTTATTCAATCTACATTGCAAATAAATCAAACTAATATTAACATACAATTGAATGATTCTATTGATGTATATTTTAAACATTCAACTATAAGTAAGTTCATCTTGGTTTCGAACAACTATAAGCTCTTTTCTTTTCAATAGTTGAAATCATGAGACAATTGAAGCTAAACCACCATGAAAAACCTGAATTCGAATCTCGCGGGGAACGGGATCGCGGATGCGTACTGCTAAGGAGTCCCATACTAGGACGAAACGACCGCCCAGTGCTTACAGGTTTTTCATGGTGGTCTAGCTTCAATTGACTCATGATTTGAACTACTGAAATTACTAAAATCTCCACAAAACCCCTTCTTTTCTTTTCGTTATTTGATTAGTAGAGAATTATCAGTTTTATAGAGGTTATCTTTAATTATAGCCCCTAAATGCCATGATACGGCCGAAAGTGAGGATAGTCTGATCTTCCTATCTAAATGGTCTCACATGGCCATGTACGTACAACCACTACCAGCATAGTCCTACTCACTGTCTTCTCGCACCACGAGTGTTGTGTTTAGGAAATTGAGAAGGAAAGCGAATGTCCAACGCTTTAACCAGGCTGATGAACACGGAGAATTCACCTAGGAGAGTTGTTAAACCCTGATTCCAAACTAATAGTGCACGTAGGCTCAAGGAACTTGATGGAACAAATGACGTATGAACTAATTGTTGGTCATCAGCTACCATGGGCCTGCATCTTCTGACGTCTTTATTTGGATGTCATTTACTGATAAACAAAAGAATGTGAAGTTTATCTTTATTTATGCTTAACATGGAATATGTTCATTTCATATTGTCAATATAGATTGAAATACCTCACTATTGCTTATTTAGTATTAAAAGTTATGGATAATGAGTTTTAGTGTGAATGTTAACACTAGAATTTAAGTAGATCCAGCTGATAAAACTCAGATCGAGCAAAGAAAATGCTCTAGAATATTCTGATAGAAGTCTAAATTTTAATCATAGGATGAATCACTATTATGTTCACGAAAACCCAGTATTTTTGTTGGACGACATGAATTATAAAATATTTTAGTTAGAATGAACTCAGAAAGGCAAAACGACAGCTCATGTATCAGGGAATTCAAATTTCTCTAACGAATTTTTATGATCAATGTTCTGCAATGAAGAATAATTTATCTTCACCACATAGAACATGGAAGATGTAAAAACCATTACATATCTGGGCAGCATCATTGATGAACACGGTGGATCTGATGCAGATGTGAAGGCACTGATCGGAAAGCAAGAGAAACATATCTATAACTGAAGAAGATCTGGAACTCAAAACAGTTGTCGACCAACACCAAAGTAAAAATTCTGGTCACAAATACCAAGATAGTTCTACTGTATGTGGTGGAAACTTGGAGAACTACGAAATCCATCATCCAGAAGATATAAGTGTTTATTAACAGTTGTCCATGCAAAATATTTCGGATCTTTTGGTCAAATACTATTAAAAACAACCTACTACGGGAGAGAAAAAACCAGATCCCAACGGAGGAAGATATCAGAAAGAAGTGCTGGAAGTGGATAGGACATACATTAAGGAAAGCACCCAACTGAGTCACAAGGCCAAATAAAGAAGAGGGAAACCAAAGCACATATTACGCCGATAAATAGAGACAGACATGAGAAGAATGAACGATAATCGGACAGAACTATAAAGGAGGGCCCAGGATAGAGGGGGTCAGAGAATTCTGGTCGGCGGCCTATACTCTATTGAGGGTAACAGGCATAAGTAAATAAGTAACCACATAAGACAGTCCACTGATATTAGTGATGATATTTGCTGCGTGTACTTTAAATTGCCTTAAACAATGAAATTTAATGAAAGAAGATAATTTTCAATTGGAAAATTGATAAAAATCATATTCATTTCTTAATACCACTTCTATCTGTTTTATATTACAGATGTGAACAGATCACTCGAATATGTTTGGATTAAATATATATTGGGAATTTCCATTTTTACTTTAATGTGTCAAATAATAATATTTTCATTTAAACATCTGAAGAAATGCTACACAAAATACAAATTTGTCAATCATAGAAATCCATTTGTAATGACAGCAGTTACAAGTAAGCATGTTAATTTTGTTTTAAAATGTTTGCTACTTATAAGTAGTACGAATGATTTTTCATACACGTAGTTCCACAGGTTGAAATCATGAGTCAGTTGAAGCTAGACCACCATTGAAAACCTGGAAGCACTGGACGGCCGTTTCATCCTGGTATGGGACTCCTCAGCAGTGCGCATCCACGATCCCGCACCACGCGGGGCTCGAACTCAGGACCTACTGGCTTCGTGCGCGAGCATGTAGTTCCCTTTATTATCATAAACAGAGCAACAAAGATTGGTGCAGAACAATCAATGGATTCATTTTATTTCATTAGGTTCTCATCAGCTGCTTAAAACCTAAATTATTTGAAATTCAAATTATTACAGATATTGACATTTGTTATACATAAGAGTGTTGTGATTAAGGATGAATACATGTGTATCATGATGTAGCGAAGATTCAGATAGAGTTAATGAGCTCATAAAAATGTTTGATTCGAATAAATAAATAAAACTAGAGAGAGGGAAAGTTCTGGAACATTGAAATAATGATTAGAACTCATGAAAATAGATTAATGATAATAAAGAAAATATGAATTGAAATCAATCATTTATGTATGATGTAATTTAAACTTCAGAAAGAGTTGCAATAATGACGCAATAAATAAATAAATAGAAGCAAATGAATAGAAAGGGTGGGGGGTTATTGTTACCAGGGTAAAGAAAGATTTATTACTGTCTCTTTTTGTATACATAGATCTGGTTTTAAACATCTGATTGTTATTGCTTCAGCAAATTTCAAAAGGTTGGAGTTTGATTGTTTGTTAATCACCTTGAAGGATTTCAGTATATGAACTTCATGTCCTGTATCAGGGTGTCTTGCAATGACACTGTTGAATGTGTTCAATCCATTTAAACTTTTCGGAATATGTTTTCTGGGCGTCCATTGCCATCTATAACACAAAGTGTAGTACAGGGAAGAGCTAATCAGAACCGAAAATTCAGCTTTTGCACGATGATCACTCACTACGAACAGGTGGGATATGTTTGTATGATGATCAAAATGTTTCACATGATAGAGGAAATTACTTTTTGTCTCCATAGAGTAAACATTATGACGTTAAACGCAACAAACGTCCAATTACATTGCTGTAGATCATATATGACTGGCTAATCAACTCTATCCCTAAATTTCAACACTAAATCTGCACTCCTGGTTGTACCATGCTTTATGGGCAAACTGATAATACAACACCTTTTGTATTTTTTTTAGCGGAATTCATTCATCCATATGCTTACAAATAACCTTTGCATTCAACATGATTTAGTTTATGATGGTAACCCCAATCCTAAATAGGAACAATCTGGGACTCTTCCACATCAATTGCTGCTCTTATAATGGTTCAGAAAAACAGGTTTTCTACATCCGTAACGAGTGATTTTCTCACAAACTTTGCATTTGCAACAGCTAGTTTATGACTGATTAAGAACTAGTGTTAAAAAAATAATCACAATTGTTTCAAGCTTATCTGCATAATGTTCTCTTGACAATTTCCTTTTTTGTGAACTTAAGACAGCGAATAATATTTCAGTATACTACAGAAACCTTACCCAACATATAAGTCGATACCTTGAATGAGTTGTATTGTACTAGTTATGTAATCACATCACAGATAAGTTACAATATTTTCTCAGAGATTTCTTAAATAATATTTGCCTAAATTAAGTAGAACCATGTATTCTTGTAGGACCTTTTTCATTTCAAACTAAAAGTAATTCACACCTACTTGTATAAAGTATATCGTTAGCAATATTCTCAAAATAATGTTTGAAAATGTGCACCACATAAATCATTCGGTTTTTGTGAGGGCTAGGATACTTCCCGGGTACCCAAACTGAAGCCGTGGTTTTCTTAGGAGGCCACATCTGGAACCTTTGACCTTAAAGTATGATCCACAAGGCAGTGGACGAACATTAAGAGATGCGGTCCCATGTCAGCCGTTTCATATGCCACTTGTTCTCTCAGGATACTGGAGCACATGTCTACCATTAGTTTGGAATCAGGGTTTTCCAACTCTTCTAGGTGGACTATCCATATCCACCAACCCGGTTAAAGCGCCATACATTCGCTTTTCGTTCTCTCAATCCCATAAACAACACCCGTGGTGCTAGAAGGTAGTGATTAGGACTTCCCTGGTTGCGGTTATATGCATGTGGTCATGTGAGAGCATTTCCAGATGGAAGGAGCTAACTCTCCCCACTGTCAGCCGTACCAGGGTATTTTTGGGCTTCTATACTTCACTAGCAAGGATTATTCAAATCCTCAAAGTGTAGTAAAATATCGAGCAATAATCCCTAAGCACTGAGAATTGACGACAGTTCAATGAAATCGTGTTAAACAATGAATTGTTCAAAATATTCACTTAGCGTGTTTTATACCCTTGTAGTTATTTGACAGAAGTCATAAAGATTTATAAACTGTATTTGATACTCACTGTCGATTAGGTTAACACTAAGATATTCAAGCTGAAGGTAGTGAGTAATGTGGATCTAAACAATCCATCAAGTCTATAATTTATGGACGTACTAATCACATATAAGATAACAGATCTCAGATTTTTGGCAAGAAATTCACTCATCCATTTGGTTAAAAAGAGTTTCAGCATTATAGCTGATATTACTTTATGATGAAAACTCTAAATCGAATTTATAACCTTAATCATCAACTGTAAATCATAATTGTAATTCCTCATTACGGAAACTTCTTCGACACTACGGACTTCCTGAGAAGATTGTCAATATTATCCGGAACTCATACGACGGACTAAAGTGCAAGGTCGTGCATGGAGGACAGCTGACAGATGCATTCCAAGTAAGGACCGGAGTCGAACAAAGCTGTTTACTCTCTCCATTCTTTTTTCTTCTGGTGGTCGACTGGATTATGAAGACCTAGACATCTGAAGGAAAACACGGAATACAACGGACAGCTCAGAATCAATTAGATGATTTGGACTTCGCAGATGACCTAGCCCTCCTATCGCGTACACACAAACAGATGCAGATGAAGACAGCCAGTGTAGCATCAGTCTCTGCATCAGTAGGCCTCAGTATACACAAAGGGAAAACTAAAGTCCTCAAATTCAAAGTGGAGAACAGCAATCCAATCACTCCTGATGGCGAAACTCTGGAAGATGTAGAGTCCTTCACATACCTGGGAAGCATCATCGATGAACAAGGAGGATCAGATGCAGATATAAAGCGGTGGATTGACAAAGCAAGGGCCACATTCCTACAATTGAAGAACATATGAAACTCAAAACAACTTTCAACCAATATCAAAGTGATAATTTTCAATACCAACGTCAAGGCGGTTCTACTGTATGGAGCTGGAACTTGGAGAACTACAACAACCACCATCAAGAAAGTACAAGTATTTATAAATAGCTGTCTACGCAAGATACTCAACATCCGTTGGTCGGATACCATCAGCAATAGCCTTCTGTGGGAGAATAAACCAACTTCCAGCTGAAGAAATTAGGAAAAGACGATGAAAATGGATAGGACATACATTACACAAATCGTCAAACTGCATCACGAGACAAGCCCCAACTTGGAATCCTGAAGGGAAGCGAACAAGAGGGAGGCCAAAGAACACATTGCGTCGGATAATAGAAGCAGATATGAAAACGATGAATTACAACTAGAAGGAGCTGGAAAAGACTGCCCAGGATATGGTTGAATGGAGAATGCTAGTGAGCGGCTTATGCTCCTTCACGAGGAGTAACAGACGTAAGTAAGTACTGGTTTATAACCCTCATTTGGTTCTAGTTATTAAGTGGACACTCTCAAGATCACCTTAGCGTCGCTCAAAGGTTGTCGTCGGGGAAAATAAAGTACTTATTCATAATAAATCATATATTTGTTAGTTAACAAAATTAACAAACAAGTGCCTATTTTGTTATTTTCCACCTTCCTCCCACCCCACCCCTTAGACGAAGTTCAACAGTCTGTGAATAGAGATGTAAACTCTAAACAAATTTGTCACAATGATTTACATGTTGAAAATAAATGTGAATTACATAATACTAATGTCATAATGAATGATAATAGATTAAATAAAGAAATAAAAGATATTAAATGTGATAGAATTGAACATAATTCACTTGATTATCAACAACAAACTAGTCATTCAATGACATGTTTATTAATTTATCCATCTAATAAATCAAATAAATGTCGTCTCTTATTTAATCATAATCATAATCATAATAATAATACTAGATTACATTATACGAATTCATGTCTTTCATCACCTATTCATTGCCAATACAATCAAAATCATCTATCACAGTTTATGATTGATTCATGTGTAAAATCAAAAAATATCAACTTATCACAACGTATAAGTAAATCAACATTGAATATTGCTACTAATCATCAAATGAAAGTATCAACAGAACAATTAACATTGAATGAATATGATAAAATGAATCAAGTAAATCATAAAAATCATTCACTTTTTAATAATTATACACATAGAAATGTATTTTTACCAACTTGTTATCATAATGATTGTTTAAAACAAAAATATGGTTATTGTACAGTATATCATAGTTTAAAGAATCAAGATTATAAAGATGGTTGGGTTTAAGTTCTACTTTTCTTGTTTATATTGATGAAGATGTGGGGATACTTTTTAATCGGAACTATAGAGGAGAATTGAGTTTATACTTTGTATGAGGTTTTAAACGACTTGGATTAGATGCTTCGATAGAGATACCATTAGGTGCTGTATTCCAGACAAATATTGTATAGGCTAACTGTGAAGTGTACTGTTAATTGCAAACGTTTTCATAGTTAAGCTTGTAGCTGCTTGTATTACTGTGAAATTGTGAAGGATCTTCTGTATGATATCGAAAGTGGTAATGACAGTCTTTGTAACCTCGTGTAAAGTAAGAAGTGGAAGATTACTTGATTTTGATTTTAAGTGCGAATACAGACCGCGAAAGCGTGGCCTATTGAAACTTGGGATGTTATTTTCGTAGTTTGAAGCAAAAGATGCCAGAAACATTACCACAGGCGAAATCCGACTCACACGTCCGCGTCGTGCCTCCTGGATAGTGAGACGAATGTCTCACGAACCAACGTGAGCGGTAACCTGGGTGGTCGAGATCGGGCTAATCACCCTCTTTACCTATACCCACAACCTGATTACGAAAACAACAGAGAATCATTGCACAATCATTAGTGGTCCAAAAAAAGACAAAAAAAATTAACAAATACAAAGACTTGGTTTATGGAATGTCCGGGGTTACTCTCAAGAAGGTAAGCTCCAACTGATTGCAGAACAAGTTATCGAACGTACGTACCACATAGCAGTGATTACGGAAACTAGAATGATTTCCAAAACCATCAAAATTGATAAAAACACTTTTCTCAACTCTAATCCTGACATGAATGACTACCGGAACACTGGCGTCGGCTTCATCATTAATAAACAGCCAATGATTTCTGCCACCAACTTTAAGGAGATAGATGGTAGAATAGCTACCATTAAAATACATAGCAAAATCACTAACCAGACTATCAACCTCATTGGTTGTTATGCCCCAACTGAGTCTTTTAATGATGATATCAGTAAAGAAAACTTCTATCTTGAACTGAACAGCACGATTAAGAAACTTGAACTAAATAAACTTCCCATAATCATACTAGGTGACTTCAACTGTAGGCTAGGCCTGGACCTTCACGCTTACTACCCTATCATAGGGAAAGCTATCAAGCTTGAACCAGAAACATCAACAAATGGCATGAGACTAATAAACTTATGCGAAACATCAAGTCTGCGAGTAATGAATACCTTTATTACTAAACCAGCTGATAAGACTTCCACCTGGGTGCACCCCAAGACCCAAACGGAACATATGATAGACCTAGTGTTAATAGAAAATAATTCTAGGTTAATGGTCTGTGACATACACAACAGTCGATCTATGGAGGCTAAATCTGATCACTACATGGCCACAGCCATACTTAAGCTAAAGTACTTAAATAATAAAAAGACTCCAAACAATAATAAGAGACCCAGACGAAGACAACGTAAGGCGATACACGCCTTGACGTCGGATTATCCAAGTATATTAGATAACTTACTTCAAAATGAATAAAGTCTAAGTCAGATATAAAGAGCAATCATACAAGCAGCTAACAAAACCCTCAATCCCACATAAGTCGGCCACTAAAAGATGGCAACACAGCATAAGTGATCTCTTAAAGCAAGAGATAAAACATAGAAAACAACTAAGATTAGCTTAGCTAAACAATCCCACAGCCCTTAATAAAAACCTTTATACTAAAGCCAGTAAGATTGTAAACAATATGATTAAGTTAGCAAAAGACCAATATATCAAAGATAGAACAGATGAGATGAACTCTCTATTCAAGAAACACGACTAACAATTAGCATATAAAATGCTGGATGATAGATTGGCTACTATTCGAAACCAATCCTATAGAACTAAAAGAACAAACCAAGTGAAAGATAGTGATCTTCAACATCACTATCAGAACCTATTTAGTGCTAAGTCAAAACTAAACACTACTCATCTATCCATAGGGATTACCTAGGATCCTGAACTTACTCTAGAAGAAATAAAACAAGGCTTAAAAAGCATGAAAAACCAAACTAATCCTGGTAATAATGGCATCACTACTGAAATGATAAAGCATGGGGGAAGCAAACTCACTAACATATTACTAAATATAATGAGTAAAATATGGAAAAATCTGTGCACAATGCCAGACCACTGGCTAGATGCAGACGCGATAAGCATATACAAAAAGAAAGGATCAAGATCAGACCCTAATAACTATAGAAGTATATTCCTTCTAGACACAATAGGAAAACTATTTGCAGGCATAGTCTGCAATAGGCTAGTACAACTAACTGATAGATACCTCCCCATTACTCAATTTGGATTTAGGAAAGACTTAGCAACAACCCATGCCATAACGACATTAAGACACATCATTCAAACTACTTTAGATACAAACCGTACTATAGTTCTAACTTTCGTGGATCTAACTAAGGCCTTTGACACTATACCTAAACAATTAATCATAGACACACTAACAGAAATATGCCCGTCAAATAATATAAACTCCTGCATAGCTAAGCTACTAGATAAACCTAAGGGCTATCTAAGAAACACAAAACTAAACTTTACAATGCACAGAGGTGTTAGACAGGGTAGTAAAGAAGGTCCGGTCATCTTCAATCTAATCTTTCAAAGTATTTTAAAACATACAGTAGATAAAACCTTTAAAGGAATCACCCTAAAAGATCAGCATAATAGGAACTAGACAATTAAACACTTAGAATATTCTGATGACTTATGCCTCATCACAAATACCACGGAAGAGGCTACTAAAGCCTTAAACCACTTACAAAAATGCTCAACTAACATTGGTATGGAGATATCAATCTCTAAAACCAAAGTGATGATTATAAATAAAAAGGACAACCTAGCAGCTGTCAAAATAGACAATAAGGAGATAGAGGAAGTAGAAACCTTCCACCATCTTGGCTCCATAAATAACAAAGGAACCCCTGACAGCGCTATAACTCATAACATAGAAAAGGCTAAATCTGCAGTAATCAAAATTAGACCAATACTTAAATGTCAATCTCAGAGAAAGATGGACATATTATTCATTCTCAATCCAGGAGATTGGATCGATGGGCAGAACACTTCAGGGATCAGTTCAACTGGCCTTCAGCCACACTTCAGTTTCCCACGATCTCTAGTCAACCTGAATGGCAAGTTAATGTAAGTCCTCCGTCCCTTTACGAAGTTGAAAAAGCCATAGGAAATCTGAAACGAGGGAGAGCAGCAGGCCCTGACAGGTTTACTCCTGAGATTTTTAAGGATGGTGGTCCAGTATTAGCAATGAGATTAACCGAGGTCTTAGGTAGAATTTGGGAACTGGACGTAATCCCATCTGACTGGTCTCAATCACTGATTGTGCCAGTCTATAAGAAAGGACAAAAGTCCTCTTGTGACAATCATAGAGGAATCAGTTTGACTAATATAGTGTCTAAAATATTAGCTTCAATAATACTTCGACGCCTAATCAAATCTCGTGAAGAGCAGATTAGAGAAAACCAGGCTGGTTTTCGACCTGGACGTGGTTGTATAGACCAAATATTCACACTACGTCAGGTTCTAGAACACAGATACACGTTTAGACGCCCCACAATGGTAGTATTTCTCGACCTTAAGGCGGCATTCGACTCTGTTGATCGTAAGGTTCTATGGCAGTGTTTGTCACTGAAAGGAGTACCAAAGAAGTACATTAACCTTATTCAGGCTCTCTACTCGAACACAACTGGTAGAGTGAGAGCTTATGGCGAACTGTCATCAGAATTGATTACCTCAAGTGGTGTTCGTCAGGGCTGTCCACTCTCTCCATTCTTGTTCAACTTTGTGGTCGACGTACTTTTAGAGATGACACTCTCCTCATCTAAATTTCCAGGGGTTGAACTTCTACCGGGAGGTACACTTGTTGACTTAGAATATGCTGATGACATAGTTTTATTTGGTGAAGACGCTGACAAAATGCAGAGTCTTCTGACCACTCTAAGCAACAATGCAAGCATGTTCGGGATGCGATTCTCTCCCTCGAAATGCAAAATGTTGCTTCAGGATTGGGCTACATCGACACCCGATCTAGTGATAGGGAGTGAAGTAGTTGAGTGTGTCGACCGCTTCACTTATCTTGGAAGTCTCATCAGCCCTTGTGGTCTGGTATGTGACGAAATCTCAGCACGGATACAGAAGGCTCGACTAGCTTTTGCCAACTTGCGTCATTTATGGCGTAGGCGAGATATCCGTCTATCAACCAAAGGACGGGTTTACTGCGCAGCAGTTCGTCCCGTCCTACTTTATGGCAGTGAAACATGGCCGGTAAGAGTAGAGGATATTCGTAGGTTACTAGTATTCGATCATAGGTGTCTTCGAAACATTGCTCGTATATCATGGGACCATCGAGTAAGTACACAGTTGTTAGGAAACGGGTACTAGGTAAGGATGGCAAATCAATTGATGAAGTAGTGAAACTTCATCAGTTGAGATGGCTGGGACACGTGTTACGTATGCCCAACGACCGACTGCCTCGACGTGCGATGTTCAGTGGTATAGGAGTAGGTTGGAAGAAAGCTAGGGGCGGCCAGACCAAAACATGGCACAAGTCCATGAAGTCACTGACAAGTGGTCTGAGTCATGTTGGTAGGTGTAGACTACCTGGTTGGGGACCGCGAGATGATAGCAACCGATGGTTAGAGACCCTGAATGACATGGCTCAAAATCGTTTGCAATGGCGCAGGTGCATCCACTCTTTGTGTTCTCCAAAATTCTAATCTTCTGAATACTTCATGTCACTTTTTTCCTCTTTCCAAATTTATTTCACTGAATTATACTCTTTAAATAACATCTCCAAACCCTAATCTTCCCGATCACTGCTTACACTCTTGCTACCTCTACCACTAAGGGATTTGTATCGACAACTGCATCTCTGTGTTAAGGTGGTGTGGCAACTCGAACTGATGTACGTACGTACGGAGTTCTACGTTGTTACTGACTGACTGACTGA